GTGCCTACCATGTGTCAGAAATTCTGCATGCTGGGTATGGAAAATGTGGAATGGAATAGTTCTTATCCTCCCAAAGCTTATCATCTGGGTGAGATTAGACACTTAACAACAAAATGAGTAAATGCCATGGGATCCCACAGGAAAAAGCAACTTACACAAAGTAAAGGATTCTCAGCGGAAGTGTCATCTAGTCTAGAGTGTGAAAGATGCTGGGTGGTTTGGAAAAGGGAGTAATAGTCCAAGCAAAAGAAACAGCATGTTTAAAGACCCAAAGGAAAGGGAGAAGATGGTCCCATTATGAAACAGAAAAGTACCAATGACTGGACCAGGGTGGGCACAGATGCACAAATAAGTCAAGAAACGACAAACTCACCCAAGAGGAATGAGATAACAAAGGAACTTGAAAGCTATGTTAAGGACTCTAGCTTTTAATTCTCAGGATAATGAGAAGTCACTAAAGAATTTTAAGCAGTTATAGTACTGAGAAAATTTACTAGTTCATAAAGATGAGCACAGCAGTTTTGTGGAAAATGAACTGAAGGGAGCCAAGTAAGGGTACAGAGAAACCGTTACAGAGGCTGGACTAAAATGGAGACTTGGCCTCGAGAAGTGGTAGGTTGGAAAGTCTGAAGTAGGGGGATTCAGAGAGAGACCTGACTAGACATGTTATTAGTCTGTTAGACCTCTAATCCATAATAAAGGAAACCACAAAACAGAAGTACCAACGAGAAGAGCAGAAGACAAAGACATTAGTGAAATAAGTGATGGTTTTTTTTTTTTATGTTTGTAGACCAGAAGAAATCAATGCTACTGCTGCCTGAAGACTTTAGATGCATTACTCCACAGAAGAAAGAAAAGAGGACAGCTGAAAGAAATGGCAAGAGAAGGAAAAGGGCAGCAAGTACAAGGAGCCAAGGTGGAAATGAGAACAAGCAGCAGCCATGGGCAGTGAGAACCAGCTGAAGAGCAACTGTACAGCAGAAGGGGCTGCAAGGTTGAAGGGAGCTGAACTATCTCCTCAGCCTTAGGAAGGACAGACCAAGGTCAAAGTCTCACTACTGAGGCCTTTGGTATCCTGGCAAACGGCATTACATACCTCAGGGCTTCTCAAGCTTCACTGTATCACCAATGTAGTTACAGAGTCTTCAAACAGTTGAAGACAAGAAGTGACAGCGACATTTATTTGGACTCAATAGGAATGTAGGTCATAGTATAGGTACTTAATGTTTACTAAAGGCTGTTCACATAACAGACTAGTGTGTACTGCATAAAACTTCAAGTACTTATCACAAGGGTCTTCGAGAGAGGCAAAAATGAGGCTTTCGGTGTTGTTATTCATATAATGGGAAATATACCTAATAGTACTCACTATAGTACTCGGTGCTTTAACTTATTTACTAACTCATTCATTTAGTCATTACTGTAACAGATTTATTTCATGTACATACTACTAGGACAATCTTACAAATGAGAAAAAATAAGGCACAATTGATGCTTTTGAGCATTCTGCTATACTTATCTGCAGTATACTAAACCTAAAAGAAAACTGAGACTATCCTTATTTTTTTTAATTGAACCATTTTTTTCCTTTTTTGGGGATACAATTCACATAAAACATTTTATTAGTTTCAGCTGTACAACACAGGGATTCAGTATACGTATGTATTGTGAAGTGATCACAATGTCTAGTTAATAGCCATTATCACACACTTATAAATTTTTCTTCTTATGGTGGGAACTGTTAAAATCTGCTCTCTTAGCAACTTTCAAATATACAATATAGTATTACTGACTAGAGCCACCATGCAGTACACTACTTCCCCATGACTGACTGACTTTAAACTGGAAGTTTGTACCTTTTGACCACCGTCACCCATTTTGCTTCCACACCTTACTCCCCAACCCGTCCCCTGCCACCTCTGGCAACCGCCAACCTGTCTCTGTAAGTTCAGGGTTTTTTTGTTTTTAAGATTCCACATATAAGTGACATCAGATGATATATTTGAATTTCTCTGAGTTACTTCACTTAGCATAATGCCCTCAAAGGTCATCCATGTTGTTGAAAATGGCAGGATTCCCTTCTTTTTTATTTTCATGGCTGAACAGTAATTCCACCACCATGTGTGTGTGTGCACACGCATGCACGCACACGTGCATACACATGCAGGTATCTTTTTGAGTTAGTGTTTTTGTTTCCTTTGGATAAATACCCAGAAGTGGAACTGATGGATCATATGATAGTTCTACTTTTAATTTTCTGAGGAAACTCCGTACTGTTCTCCACAGTGGCCATACCAATTTATCCACCAATAGTGCCCAAGGGTTCCTTTTCTTCATATCCTGACCAGCACTTGTTCTTTGTTCTTCTTCTTCTTTTTAATAACAGCCATTCTAATAGGTGTGAAATAGTTCATTGTGGTTTTAACTTGCATTTCTTTAATACTTAGTGACTGTGAGCTCCTTTTCATGGACCTGTTGGCAATCTTGTGTCTTCTTTGGAAAACAGTCTGTTCAGATTCTGTGCGCACTTTAAAATTAGATTGTATTTTTGCTATTTAGTTGTATAACTACTTTCTATACTTTGGATATTAACCCCTTAAGAGATACACGACTCGCAAACGAGAGGGTGTGGAGAAAAGGGAACCTTCCTACACTGTTGATGGGAATATAATTTGGTGCAGCCACTATGTAGAACAGTATAGAGATTCCCTAAAAAACTAAAAATAGAGTTACCATATGATCCAGCAATTCCACTTCTGGGCATATATCCAGAGAAAATGCCAATTCAAAAAGAAACATGCAGGGGGAGGGAAAGAGCTCAGTGGTAGAGTGCATGTTTAGCATGCACAAGGTCCTGGGTTTAAATCCCAGTACTTTCATTAAAACAAAAACTACAAAGAAGCACGTCCCTCAATGTTCATAGCAGCACTACTTGCAATAGCCAAGGCATGGAAGAACCTAAACGTCCATCAAAAGATGACTAGATAAAGAAGTTGTGGTGCACACACACACACACAATGGAATACTACTCAGCCATAAAAAAGAATGAAATAATGCCATTTTGTAGCAACATGGATGGACCTGGAGATAATCATACTGAGTGAAGTAAGTCAGACAAAGACAAATATCATGTATCACTTATATATGAAATCTAAAAAAAAAAAAAATGACAGAAATGAACTTATTTACAAAACAGAAACAGACTCACAGATATGGAAAACAAAGGGTTTTGGTTCTAGTTACCAAAGGGGAAAGGGGTTGCAGGGGTCAACCAGGAGTTTGGGACTAGCAGAAACAAACTACTATATATAAAACAGATAAACAAGATCCTGCTGTATAGCACGGGGGACTATATTCAATAGTTTACAATAACCCATAATGAAAAAGAATATATATACATATAACTAAATCACCATGCTATACACTAGAAACTAATACAACATTATAAATCAACTGTACTTCAATTTTAAAAATTAAAAAAAAAATGAGAAAAGAAACAAAAAACAAAGACATGATTTGCAAATATTTTCTCCATTTGGTAGTTTAATTTTGTCAATGGTTTTCCTTTGTTGCACAGAAGCCTTTTAGTTTGATGTAGTGATTATTTTTTAATTTTATTTATTTATTTATTTATTTATTTGTTAGGGGGAGCTAATTAGGTTTGTTTTTTATTTATTTTCTTAATGGAGGTACTGAGGATTGAACCTAGGACCTCGTGCCTGCTAGGCATGCACTCTACCACTGAGCTATATCCTCCGCTCTGGTTGTTTATTTTTGTTTTTGTTGCCTTTGCTTCTGGTGTAAAATCAGTCAAGGTTCTACAATTATCCCATTTGGACTTGGAATTACGTAACGTGTGCCTCAATACCTTACAGAGGGCAAGATTTAAACTCAGATCATCTATTTACCTCCAAAATCCACACCATTAATCTGTAATCAATCAAATTATCAGCAATTTTTACACAAATAAGGCTATTAGCACCCTGCACATAGCTGTATTAGATCCTGCCGAAAGCCCTCAAGGGAAAAACAAACAAAAAACCCCCAAAACCAAAAACCACAGGGTACTACTATTTTTGCCTGAGCAAAGGACCAGAGATTTTTGTGAACCTACATAGTTCAAGGCCATATGCACGTCATGAGGGTAGCTCTGTAGATTCAGTCATTGAACAGTGCAGTACACACTATGCATTAGCTACTTACTGTCCAAAGCATAGCCAGAGGATGAAACACACAAGTGGTCAGTCCTATCTTTTACTAGCCATGTTACTCTGGGCAGATTATTCAACTTGTCTGCCTCAGTTTCCTAATATACAAACTGGGGATAATAATAGAATCTGCTTCAAAGGGATGTAAGGACAATAAAGGATTACATAAGCACTCAGAACAGTGTCTGATACACAGGAAATGCTCAATAAATGTAAATTCAAAACATTATTTTATCTGAAGAGAATTATAAAGTCCATCCTCAAATATTTTCTAAAAATTTCTTTGATTTCTGGTATTCACTTACAGACCAGAAAGTTACTCATAAGAGAATATTGCATTTGATTTTTTGGCCCTCCCCACCAAATATTAACACTAGAAGCCCCAGAGAGATCTAATGCTGCAACTATCCAAATTTAAGAGTCAAGTACTGGGGAGGGAATAGCTCAGTGGCAGAGTGTGTACCTAGCATGCACAAGGCCCTGTATTCAATCCCCAGTACCTCCATTAGATAAATAAATAAAAACCTAATTACTTCCCCCGTCAACAACAACAAAAAGTCAAGTTTAAAGAAGGTTTACAGAAAGTTGTGAACTGATAATATGAGAGCCAAAATGAGGATTTATATTAAATGAGGAAATTATAAGCTTCTTAAAATATACTAACACTAACTGAGACTGTATGGGACTGGTATAAAGGATAGACACACATAGATCTATGGAGGAAAACTGACAGTCCAGTAATAAACTCACATCTGTGGTCAAATGATTTTCAACAAAGGTGCAGAGACAATTTCAATTCAAGGTCTTTCTTTTCAACAGATGGTGCTGGGATAGTGATATCCACACGCAAAAGACTGAATTTAGACCCCTATCTGATGTTACATTAAAAAAAAATTTATCAAAATGGACCAAAGCCCTAATTCAAACTCTTAGAAGAAAATAAGAATAATCTTTACGACTATGGATTAGACAATGATTTCTTACATATGACACCAAAAGCACATGGAATAAAAGGAAAAATAGACTGGACTTCACCAAAACTAAAAAATTTTGTGCTTTAAGAATCAATACCAAGGAAGTGAAAAGATAACCCACAGAATGGAAGAAAAAAAAATTACAAACCACACATCCGATGCGAGACTTGTACAGAGAATAAAAGTGGTCTGTCTGTACAGTGGAATATAATTCATCCACAAAAAGGAATGAAGTACTGACACATGATGCAACATGGACAAACCCTGGGAACATGGTGCTAAGTGAAAAAAGCCACTCACAGAAGATATGCATAGTGTATTCCGGTAAATATTACGCAAAAGAATGAAATAATCATCTGTGAAATGAAATAGTCTTAAGACAGAGAAAGGATATCACAGAAAGATGTCTATCATAATACATTTGTACACGAGTATAAATCAGCAATTCTCTCAAAACACTATGGTCTAGCACATCTTCTACTTTCCACATCAAATAATCAATGCCTTGGCCTTGCTCTATCGTCACCAAATAAAGTAATACATGAACATCAAATAATAACTTAAGTTATGGTAACAACCAACATCAGAATTACACTCTTTTTCATTTAATATCTGTATTGTTCCTATCACATCTCGTGATTTTAGTTACCCCACTTAAAGCACAGGCAAAAACAACTTTAAGAATGTTTAGATTTCTATGCACATAGTTTCATGTTTCTGGTTGTATATAGAATGCATTTTTTTAAATGGATGATATAAAAATTCTCAGTAATGTTTAAAATTTATTTTTTAAATTCTAATTAATTAGTCAATATAATACTTACCCTAAAATCATTCTTAAATTTCTTTAAATCATCAATTTGTTTTCTATGTTCAGAAACAATTGGTGATATACCTGTAAAATTAAGAAATGTTAGATACAGATTTCTTTCTTTTTTTGAATTGAGGTATATAGTCAGTTCACAACAGTGTGTCAATTTCTGGTGTACAGCACAATGCTTCAGTCACACATGAATATACATATAGTACAGATTTATTTCTAATCTTTAACTTAAAGTTCATTTAGAATGAGATGTTAGAAATGAAAATAAACTATCATCAAAATAGTAAAAATTTCAATATATTAAGTATAGATTTTGACATTTTGTCAAAATTAGACATCTATATACGCAAAATACTAAGAAAAAGTGTTGTACAAAAATACTCTGCTTTAGTCATGAGATTAGACACACCCCTTCCTAATTCTATAGTTATACCTAAAGACTTTTCAAAACTCTAACCTTTACTTTCAGCTTTTGAGAAGCTAGGCGATGTCTCATTGGGCTTCATATTTTCTTTATTCCCTGAAGGAGAGTTCTGCCTCTGATCATGAAGCCTGGAATCTTTAGCTAGAAAATATTTGACAAAAATGCAAAATTAGGAGGAAAGGGTATAGCTCAAGTGGTAGAGTGCATGCTTAGTTATGCATGAGGTGCTGGGTTCAATTCCCAGTACTTCCTCTAAGAATAAATAAGTAAGTAAACCTAATTACCTCCCCACACCAAAAAAAAAAAAAAAAAAGCAGCCAGGATAGAAGCTGTAAAAGTAAAATGGGAAAATATTCAACAATTTTGATCCTATGTTTTTGAAAAAGAACATTTTCATTTAAACAGAGGATTTCCTACTTTGCAGACATGAGAGACCAATAATTTTATTTATAAGATTAATATAAATACTATGTAAACCCTCTTAACAGACGTTCAAGAACAACATATGAAATTACTAGTATTAAATTAATTTACATAGAATTTCAAACGTGCCCTCAAGTTCGTATCAATACAGCCATTTTTCATATACTGTTAAACCTCTAAAACTCAACTTTACAAAGGACATTATGGATCTGGAAGCTCTTTCTTACATACCCTCAATAGATGGGGTAACAGCTCTGTTGGATGCAGGGCTGGCAGGCGTAGGAGATGCAGCTGGAACAGGCATAGCAACAGCTTCAGTTGGAATAATACCAGCCTGGGGAGAAGCAAGAACTGGCCCACTAGGAGTATTTCCAATACTATTCTGTCTGGGAGACCTGGGTCTGTGTGTTTTAGGGGATAATCTTGGAACTACAAGAAAGAGAAAAGTCATCCATTACATTCTCAGCTCAAATGTCACTTCCTTAAAAAGGTTCCTCTGAAGACCTAGGCAAAACAGTTCTATCTGATCTCCTCCCAGCTACTTTATCCTGTCATCCTGTTTTCTTTTCTGAAGTCTAAGGAATAGTGGTGATGACTGAGAATACAAATATTTGAAGAATGAAAGCAATTAACTAATACTCAAGTATAACAGTGGTTTCCCTCCTAACTAAATACATTAATTCTAAAAGGCACTATTTTGGGGGGGATAGGGAGATTACGTTTATTTGTTTAAAATGGAGGTACTGGGGATTAAACCCACTGAGCTATACCCATCCCACTAGGCAGTATTTCAGAATGAAGTTAGAAACTGGATTTCTAAGGCAGGATAAATGTCACTCACATTTTAGGATAAAAGTAACACCATTCTCTACTAAAAAGTGAGACTGTTTCTTTAAAATAGGTGGTGTGGGGGTGAGGGAAGCCCTAAGAAGCAGGCTTACTTGTTCCTTCTTCAAATACAAACTCAAAATACCTTTTATCAATTTGCAGCCAGTATTACTTGCTCTTTCTTACATCAAAATCTACTCTGCAGTAACTGAAGAAATTAGAAACTCAATTTAGCCCAAAGGGGAAGATAATCCAAGCAGGGTTTCATAATTCACATGACTTTCAAAATAAGTATCTAATAGGTTTCGTGTTTCACTATATACCTATTCAGATTCAAAGATTAGAGAAAATGGTCCAACTGGCTTCACTTTAGTGGTTCTTTACTTTAAGTCCCAAGGATCATGGAAGGAAGTTATTTCAATAATTGCCATTTTTCTCATTAGTATAAAGAGCAAACCTACAACATCGTTCTATGTATATTTCTACCAACTGTGATTTTACTCTTTCACATCTATAATCATGTTGTTACTTTCAAAATTCATTTCCAGATCACCTGAGTAATGCCAAATAATGAATGGTACACTGAAGAAATAAAGATCTTGGAAATTCTATTTTTTTTGTTAATTGAATTATTTCCTTGTTAATTGTAGATCAAAGAAGAGAATAGAAAGTTCAAAGGAACTTACAATAAAATTATACCTATGTGAAACTGAACAGAGTATATCAACTAAAAACATTTAACAGATTTGGGTATTTTTTGTTTAAGCTTGAAGATCTTCTTTCTTTTAAAGTTCTATGCATCTATTAAGATAGATTATGACCAAAACAACAGTCATTGCATGCTCTAACTGTATAGTTATCATGAAAGCAGAATATTAAGTAGCAAAAGCAGTCTTAACCTAATTGCAAGATCATGTCAAAATACATTTTTAACACTTTCACATCTGCCATCAGCACATTCTTCAGGCTAACCATAGATTAAACTTGGGCCCTCATGTGTGTTCATTATTTCTTAAAAGGGAAATAATTAAAAGGGTCATGAATTAGTGTCATATACAGATGTTGCAGAAACATACAGCATTGTAAGCCCAAAATAAATGTTGTGGAATGAAGCAATGAACAAAGTTGCTAAGAAGATAGGAAATGCGATCCCTCCAAATGTTATTATGTACTGTATTTGCCTTCCATTTGAGTTACAAAACTACAAAGTATATTCATATTTATAAACTTCATATGAATCTCATCACAAGTCCACAAAGTAGACTAGGCAAAAATTACTCATTGAGAAAACTGAAATTCAGAATGATCACATGATTTCCTCTAACAAATGGTGAGTAAGTGGTAAGAGCCTAGAATAAAAACACAGGTGTTGCAATTCTTGGTTACACCACTATTTTTCATATATACACTTAGACTTCCTTAAACAAAGCTCAAGCTCAGTCCTTTTTACATCTAAAACCAAAAATGAACACGGTCATTACGCTCCAAGCCAAGTGTTACCTACCCCCACTGACCACTGATGACCATGTGCCTCCCGCGGGACTGGTCCTTGCTGCTGGAGGAGTAGCTGCTTCACTTGGTGGAGTATGGGATACAAATTCTAGGCCACTGGAAATGGAACCCCTCCCAGTGGAAACTCTGTGATTTCGAGGGTGTCGCTGGGCTTTTGGGGACATCCGTGGAGGCCCTAAGAAAGGAACAGTGAACATCACATAAATGCCACAATGTCCACCAGTTATTACTTTTTTGCTAAACACATACACCCCATTCTCTTCTCCCCCCAACAACCCCTCTCTCTCATTTCTTCTCAATTAAAAAAAAAACAAACACCATACATACTTTGGCCGTACTCTTTCAGAATTATTTTGTAGAATGCCATAAAATTTTATACATAAATTTTATTTTATTTTCCTTTACTTTTAAAGAAAAGGAGGGATGAAGTTGGTGGTAAGAAATCAAACAATAAGATGTCATAACTTCAAAGATTTTAGCAATCTGTTTAATCTATATTCATTATTTGTAGGCATACAAAAATCAATATAATAAAATGTTAATAAAAGTTATAACTACATGATGAAATAATTTTATTTTACCATATACGTTTAGCTTTTTCCTGCAAATTTTCTACAGTATATTACTTCTAAAATTAGAAAACACTTTTTTAAAACAAAAAACTATTAATCCCAATACACCTCTGCTCTATTGAATATATGTACATACCCTTCTTAAATTTCTCCAGAATCTTAGTTTATCTACCTCTTCTGCCATAATGATCAATTTTACAATCCATGTCTTAAAACAATCCTCACCTGTAAGCAATTTCTCATACTTAACAGGCTGTGAGCTGGAAATACTACTGTTAAGGCATGACTTCTAAGACTAGAATAACTGACATCTGGGGAAGAAATTTGCATTATATGAATTGTCAAAATTCGGCAACAATTTTGTCACCCCATTAGTGATTTCTATTTCTAAAGAAGTCTACATTGCATTCAAACAAAACTGTCAGGTGAAAACAGTAGACAGAATGGCTCTTACCAGAGAAGCCTGACAGTGCTAACACTCAGCGAAACTCATCCTTAATGTCAAAGCCAAGTCTCCTCACCTTCACCTTGCTGCCAAACTCTTTGGAATGTCAAATTAATTTGTGTCCTCAGTAGGAATTCAATCATGGACACAATCTTAAAAAGAATGTTAATGTGATATATTATAGTTCTAGATTGGAGATACAATTTGTACTGAAGAATGAATTTATAGTAAAGTATAAATTAGTATTTATATATATTTTTTACATCCTTTTATAGGAAAAGATCAAGACAGACAGCTGGTATAGCTCAATGAAATCTAAGTCTAACTTTAAAATTTTAATTCTTTTTTGGCAATACATAAAATACTTACTGAAATAAAATATTCTCTCTATATTAAATACAGAAAATCACTATATTTAATAGTTACATTTTGAAGTTCACATTTAAAAAATGGTTCAGTGTCACCTAACTACATGACTAGAAAACATTTTAATTCAAATTAGTTTAAAAGAAAATTGAATAACAACAGTATTCCTGAATGTGCATTAAGGTATACTGTATACTTCTGATGTGAATCCTTACATCTTACTGTGGCAAAGAAGTTTACACTCACTAACGAGTCCTGTCTTAGCCAACACATTCTCACAATGTGTACATCACTTATGCAAAGAGTGCAATAAATACAGCCACAGAATTTAACTTTTCATGTAGTGGCTACCATTACAGGCACTTTTGAGAAAGGAAGTCACCTTGAAAATCAGTGTAATGTGCTGTTCAAGGTTAGCCGCTTTAGTCAAGATCTCATGACCTCCCTGCCTGGATGGCAACAATTTATCAAAAACTGTCAAAAGAGTTTCCCCCAGGAAAGCACCTCATGCCAGAAAACTGTATTAGTCTCAACATAAGCAGTATCAACTGCAATTTCAATGAAAAAAAATCGATTAAAATTTTTACATATCACATACTCTGAAATAACATCTAAAGCCATTATTAATCAGAAAACAGATTTTAATTTATGCACTGAATTTAAATTGTGACTGTCCTATAACACATCCATGTATTTGATATGTAGCAATGGTGGATTTAACATCAAATACTGAATGAGAATTTACAGGATTTTATTATTCTTTTTTTTTGATAAGGGCGAAAAAAAACCCAAACAAAAACCCTAAAGATTAATACATGACTTTTATTAACAATTTTATCTTAGATCAAGGACTTTTCACATTAAAGACTTTCACTATAAAATATTGCAAAGCTGAAGTTTTAATTTCCCAAGCACAAAAATCAAACTCTGTATTGTATTCTAAGGGTAAACATAAAAGGGCAGCTGTATGCAATGTCCTTCTCAAAAACCTAAACCAACACTCCTGCCTGTGGCCAACAGGCAGATTCACTAGCATTCGGCCAAGGAGCTGTAAAGCGACAGGCTCTACAGTAAGTCCAAGGCTGGGTGAAGAAAGTTCACTGTTCACCACTAACTGTATACACTGTGTGGGAGCAGGGTGAGGGCCCTGGGGCTATAAAGGAGCATCATTACCAGGCAGAGACAAACCCCCATTCTTACAATTCAGGGTAGTTCATAGCTTCACACAACATTTATCAAATTTCTCTCTAATGAACAAAAGGTTAATAGAAATAGTTTTAATAAACTAAAGTTAAAACACGGAAATTATAGGTTATTAAATAATGAAGAGGAAACTACTTTGTAATTATAAACTCACATAGGAGTTAAACAAAGACAAACAAAAACATGAACAAATTGTGGTATTGTACCTTCTGAAGACATGCGTTTAGGCATAGTAGAGACAGGAGCTGGAGAACCATGAGCAGAGGGGTGAGACGGGGGTCTGGATGGCCGCGAGGGGGGCCTGGAGGGCGGCCGTGTAGGGGTGGCTGCCCGAGGTGGAAGAGAGTTGGGACCTGACTGGTAGCGAGAAGGTGGGCGAGAGGAAGGAGATGGGCAAGGCGATGGCCAGGGAACACCTGACAGAACAAATGATATGAAGGAAAGTATAAAAACTAAAGAAAAAAATGAGGGGAAAAAAGTAAACAGAAAAAAAAGTAAAATGACAAAAATGATTTCTTGTACATTTTAACCCTTTGAGGACAGTCATTTGATTTGTGATAAGTTTTAGCATAACTTAACTGACAAAAATTCACATGTAACTTTAACCTCCTTAAAATTAAATCTGTTTAAATGAATACACGTTCCCAAAGGGTTAATTAGGATCTACACATACTACTGAAGAAGACAGTTAAGACTTTGCCTATTAATCCTGCTTCTGTAACTGTTTCTTGGTAATCAATTGTTAAAAGGAGTATAACACACACTAGATAATTTCACACAATAAATCATAAAACTTAGGAATAAGATTATTTACTATATTAGTTTTAGCTTTTGAAACATCAGCTACTATATCCCATTAAAAATGCTGGTTTCTTATAACCATCTGTGACTTTCATCTAGTTTATACTTGAATGTAAGGCTGAGTTTGAAATTTCATTAAGCAAGTCCGTTTAAGTGGAAATAAAACATTACTTCTACTTTCTAGTCACAGGAGTGACAGGTTAATGATCACTGCCTTTTCAAAAAACATCAATTTAATCTTTTCAAATTAGAGAAAAGAAGAGTGATCTTCTAAATAATTTATGCAGTTAAACATTCATCTAAGAGACTGCTTAATAAACAATGCAACTACAGAGCAGTCATCACCAAATAAACTGACACTGATGGATATGCACATGTCAAAATACAGCTAACATGTAACATGACAGGTTACTTACCTTATTCTTCTTAGGAAAGAGTCCAGGTCTCCTCTCCATAGGGTTCCACACACTTGAGTATCATATATTTCCCAGCCCCTTTCAGGTTTTTTTACTTTGAAAATTCTGTTCATGAACAACTAAAATTCTTTACTCAGTGAGCAAAGAAATTTCACCCCCAATACAAAGTATAGAAAATACTCAAGAGTGTTCATTTGGAGAGGAATTCTGGAGAAAGACCCAATGAAAACAAATGAAATTGGAAACTTAGTGTTCTCTATTTTTCTAACTTTCCAAATTTAAATATCTAAAATTGAATGCCTGCTCTTCCCTCTAAGTTAGTAATATACTATCAGTATTATCAACGACTGTATTTCCATATAGTCCGTGGTACTGCTGTCCAGTATCTCCAACTTGTATGAGAGACCCATGGCCTGTAAGCTATATGTAACCTAGATTGCGAGGTAGAATAGAAAAAACATCTTCCTACTAAAAATGCAAGTTTCTTTTTTTCATTTAGCTGAACTACAATATCCATGCTTACACTAAGAGTTGTTTCTTTGTTTAAGCTCTTTTTTTTTTTTTTACCATCTTCGCATGACTCTTCGTCATGTCTTGTACTGCAAGTTACCTCAAATTCTTTCTTGAAGTAAGCAGAATATAAATAAACAGTTCAGGAAAATCAGTCTATATTAACCACTGAGTGTTTCACATAGATAAGGATTTTCCAGGTAAACTATGTCTAAATAATTTTATCATCCAGTGTTTTTAAAACTGAGAACTAGGGAGACAGTATAGCTCAAGTGGTAGGGCGCATGCTTAGTATGAATGAGGTCCTGGGTTCAATCTCCAGTACATCCTTGAAGAATAAGTAAATAAGTAAACCTAATTACCTCCCCCAAGCAAAAAAAACAAAACAAAACAAAAAAGTAAAATTGAGAACTGACCCAAAGTTTCCAATTTCTTTATATGTGAGGTGTTTTTTTTTTTTTTTGCCAAGTGAATGTCTTTGGTTAAATTTAGCACTTTACCTTAATAAATGAGTATTTCATCTTGCTAAATATTGTATATGCCAATAACTTACACCGATTTTACTAGTTTGATATCCACAAAGGCAAATTTAAATAATTTAAGTGAAAACTACTCCAGAGAAATCATTAGAAGTATGCATGTTCTTATCAATTATGGAAAATGATAAATATTAGGAAACTATGTATCTGATTGATGACACTGACAAATTTGGTCAAAATACTTGCCTCCATTAACTACTCTTTGGTCAGAACCAGAATTCGGGTTGAAATCTGAAGTGTGAGAGGTGGATCTTGACGGCATGGAGCCTGATCCTGGCTGGCCCATACGCGGTGAATTCTGTCGCCCACTTCCCCAGGATATGACTTCTCTATTTCTTTGTCCAGGAGGAATATATTTATTTTCCCTGAAAATGAGAGATCCTCTAAATCACTTTATCCTAATAGGTACCAGGCCAATGAAACATCTAAAAGTAATTTAGGCAGAAGGGAATGCTTGTTATTAAAAGGTTAAACACTTAAATCAAACTGCCTGACTCCCAGACACCCTTATTCTTCCTCCTTACCCAAAGCTCTAGCCTCTGGCCTTTCTTTTCCCTCAGATTCTCCTCTTAGTAACAACATTTAACCAATGTGTATTCATTCTCATCCTACGTGGCCTCCTTGCAGCTGATTCTATCATTCGTCTTCTTGAAACTTTCTTCTTCCTTGGCTTTCTCTGCTTTTTCTCTGTGATCTCTTCTCTCTGTTGCTGTTTAGTTTTTCATGGATTCAACATCAGTCCCCCAAATCCACACTGCCAGTTCCCACAGTCTCAACATCTCTTACCGAACACTTTAATTCAAATCAGGAATCTAAGCTGTGAATGCCTTAAAAACAGAATGTGTATCTTATGCCACCAGTACACAGCAGGTGTTTCTCAACACATATTTATGAATAAATGCATGAAAGACTCGTGAGCCCTTCAAATGCAATAAATTGCACAAATGGACTCACTGTATCTCCCTTCAAACTTGCTCCATGTTTTCTATCTCCATTACCAGTACAACCACCAAACTGCTTGGTTATCAAATAAACCTCAGGGTCACTCCAGGTTTTTCTAACCTTTCCATCACCAGCCCTACCTCAATGTCCCAGATTTGGTTCACACCATCCCTTACCTACCGAGCTTCATTAACAAATCAGTTCTTCTCACCAGCTGCTACCACTGCACCCTCAACACACACTCTGTATTCCAGACATATAAAACAACTAGGTTTTTCCTGAACTGGCCAGGCTCCTTCTCCCATCTTTCACCGTGTAAGGATTTCCTCTCTTTTACGTCTCTTTGAGTGGCAGACCTGCTATCGTATCATAAAGTGTCACCTCCTTTTTAGGCTTTCTCTGACCCCACAAGGTTACACAAGACTCCTCCACACTCATATGCTCCTAGTACTCTAAACACCCCTCTAAGCTAGTGAATCATATTGAACCGTAATGATGTTAATGCATCACCCCCACCTGTTCATTATTCTTTAACAAGCTCTTCCAGACCTTGGCTTGCTTATCACTGTAATAACCAACACTTGGCTCCATAGAGTTGACACTCAAAAAAGATTACTATAATCTTTTCTCTAACAGAATCTTAAACCAACTCCATTTGCATTCTCTATCTACTAAGTTAAAGGAAGATGAAATATAATAATAATAATACACCTTCTCACACAGACCTTGAGTTGTGTATCCAAAATACTGCATCATGATTTCCTTTAAATACCTAGTGTTTATGCTGTGGCCCTCACGTTCACTGGAATTTCTCTGAACTGCTGTGTATTTTTCTTCTTCGCTCCTATCATCATTTTCCAGGGCCACCCGGGCTTTATACTGGGCACTTGATTCAATTTCTTCTGCTAACTGGTTTGCCCTTGCTTCCCGTTTTAAAAATTCTTCTGAGTTATCCCTTTCTAAGGGCACCCTGAAACATGAGGAAAACAAAAAAGTAAAATGAGATTTTTAAGTCAGTTTATATATCTGCCACAGTCAACTATTAAGAGAGTTTAGAGTTTAAAATGCTGATAAAATTGTAAGAGAGTTATAGTCATCTATTTATTTATAAATCAAAATTTGATTTCTTGGTTACTTTTTCCCCAGAGAAATAGAACATTTCCAAAACTGGTAAAATTGACTATTCCCCCATTACCTCTGCACTTGGCAATTTAGAGTTTTTAACAATGAAAAAACAAAACAAAATATATTTAGAGGAAAAAAATTACGTATAAGTAAACCACACTTAACCCCTATTTTAATGGGAATTTATCAGCTGAGCTAGTAACAGGATAATTCTTTCCTGTAAATGTTTATCTTAAAATCCAACAGAAACATTTATTCAACATCATAATTTAAGCTGATGAAAATAAAAGACAAATGCAGTAAAATAAAAGCAAACTTTTAAAACTTACGTATATGAAGATAAACTGCTATCGTATGTAGACACAACACCATAATTTTCTTCATTATATCGAAACATATCATTGGGATCCCATCCGTTAGACTAGAAGAAAATGAAGCTCATTTTTCAAAATGACACAGTATTCTTTAATTCAGTTACAAATGATTTACATTAACAATATCTATCAAACTATTCAAGCAAAATCTAGCAAAATCGAAAGTAAGAAAAAATTTTCTTTAAAAATGTCTTAAGGAAAAACTTTTCTTCTACATATCAGCCCCTGCAAGTTGGTAAATAACTACAGTTGAACTCTGAACAATTCGGGGGGTAGGGTGTTGGGGGCACAATTCCCTGTGCAGTTGAAAATCTGCAGATTCAGCCAACTTCGGACAGTGCAGTACTACAGTACTATTTACTATTGCAAAAAACCGCGTAAGTGGACCTGCATGGTTCAAACCCATGCTGTTCAAGGGTCAACTTTATACAAAACGATTATTTGAAATGTTATTAGTAAAAGTTTAGAACACTTTAGTTACTTCATAAACGGTGTGCCTTCAGGTCAGGGTTCTCTCCTTTCTCTACTCCCTAACAGAGACCTTTCTATAAGATATTTACATGAAATCTTCTTGAAGGTCTGATGGGCAGAAAAGGGTAAAACACAGCGCATAACCATCCAGCTCAGAAGAGAGGGCACAGCAACACCTGAGGAATGCTGACGGCAAGTTCAACACTAAAGCTTGCCTCCAAGGTCACCCAGCAGCCCTGGCTCCTTCTGTGCTACTCCAGATAAAACTGTAATGTAATTCCACCACTAAATCAACTCCTAGGCCTGACATGTGTGGGCAGGAAACTGGTTATCTATGGAGGCTTTAAAATTACTTTTAGCATATGCTCCATGTAAAAATTTAAATCATTCAGAAAGACATCCAGCAAAAAGTAGTCTTCCAATCCCAGTGTGCAGAGACTTACTATTAACAATTTACTATTACCATTAACTACTACCACTGTTAACAACTTCTTGGGCATAATTCCAGACATTCTCTATGTGTATGTAAGAACATGATCAGTATGATCAGCTCTCTTTTTTGAAAACTCAAATAGGATTTTCTTGTTCTGCAACTTGCTTTTTCTTTTAATAAGTCTTAGCTATCTTCTCATATCAGACTTCTTTTCAGTGGAAATACAGTACTTTAACTGAATGGAGGTGCAATAAATCTATTCAACTTGTGCCCTATTGATGAATAGTTAGGATGTTTCCAATTTTTCACTACTAGAAAAAAAATGCTGTGAAAAATATCTTCATACATAATTATTTGAATGTCTTATGGATATGACAGCGAAAATAAATTCTCAAGAGGTAGAACTGCTGGATCAAAGTGTACGTGTGTTTTAAATTTTGATAAACATTGCCAGAATGCTTTCCAGAAAGTATCTACCAATTTACTCACTTCACTATTAATTAAAAAAAAAAAAAAGAATGCCTGCTTCTCCATATCCTCCGCATGAGTGATATGCTGCACAGACCTGAAAACCTTCGCATTAAGTTATATACAATTCTCTAAAAGTTTGAAAATTATTAACGTTTTGCCAATGTATTTCCAGTTTTACAACTGGACAATGACTTAGACATCAAACAGACTTGCTATAAGGACTTTTCTAATATTCAATGAAAGTTTCTTCATCCAATTCAAATTTTGCTACCTAAACACTCGTTTTTGGCAAGAGATTTTGCTTTTGTGTCTCCTCGTTTAGAAACAGGATTGAGATAATTCTAATGATAGAATCATTATCAAGTATTTGATTTACAGATGATGTGTTATGGGAAAAGTGAAAGTAACATATGCCAAAAGGCTTTTGGAAATAGCATATTTTTGTGGAGAATTTCCTAATTTTAAGGCCAAGAAATTTACTTACTGCTCTACTTCTAATGTAACCTAACTAAGTATCTTAATAATGAGTACTTCTTAGACAGATAAGAAGCCTAAAAGTCACACTTTGACCTCACCCCTAGGTAAGGTCAACAAACAATTAAGACACCACTTTCCTTAGGCTGCCTTATTCTGCAGAGCATTCAAAGCACAACATGCCATCATTTCTAGTTTCACATGATTTCCAATTAAAAATTTTAAGCTGCTTATTATGACTTATTTTAAAAACATAGAAATAATTCATAAGCACCCTAAGAAACATTTTTCTATATATATTGCCAGGGTTTCTGGGTGAGTGTGTAGGTGGGGAGTCTCCATTTACACAATAAAACTGCTGCATTAAATATATTCACAACAACATAAAGTAAAACCAAGTAACAGGATGTCATATTCTATCACATGACCGTAGTCTGATACTAATTGAAAATGTTTCGCTTACGACATCATTTTCCAAAGCCTCCAGTTCCTCACTGGTAGTGAGTTCACCTGCATCCCACGGCTCCAGGTCCTTCTCTTTGTGTTCACCATTCACTTTAGCACTGATAGCGGAGTCAGTGAAAGCATCTGCAAAGCATGGTTTTGGTTGAAAGATTACACAACCAGACATCGGGCTACACGAATACACACATGAATTATCAACAAAGATGTATGCTAAAAGTAATTAGGAAAAGAGAATTTCTGACACAGAAGGAACAGCATTTATTAATAGTATGCTTTCAGAGGTGTAACACTTCTAATACTATAACCTTCAAAAACCTTAATTCAGTAAACAGTATCATAGATGATTACTGGTGAAGGTATGTTTTTCCTATATAATCTTAAGCCATATGAAATGTTAGAATGTAGTCACATAAGTCATTAAATTACATTAGAGATAATTACTTTGTGTTTCAGAATTGGTCCAGAAAATTTCTATTAATCCACCTAAAACAAGATCTCTTTTGTTTAACAGACCTACTAATAAGACATACCCTCAGGGCGCCTACAGCCAAACATATACAGACTTTTCAACTTTCTAAAATTCATGTCTATATGCAGGGGATCAGTATCCTAACATACTCTTGTTATTTTAGCAACTGAAGCCATTCTAAGTGACCCGTTCCCTCACAGAACCCGTATTTCCCTATAGCCACCCTGTCACAAAGTCCAGGCCCTATGGAGTTACTTGCCCCCAGAAGGTCCAGGTGGCAAGCCTACTTGGACTTCCCGTCAACACCTTCTCCCTTAATAAATCTTCTCCTCCTCTGCTAACGTTACTGAGGACCACTAGCTTGTGAGAGCAACATGGTCCCAGTGTGTTCAGCTGATAGAAACTATCTCACAGCTTCTGTCCAGCAAAGGAAATTTTTCTCCAGCTGGAAATTAGAACCTAGGTAAATAAAGGTCTGCTTTGCAATGACAGTGTTAGGAAACGCTCTGGAGATACAGGTTTGCAATCCTAATTATCGGCTTAAGATACTGGCTTGCATTAGATGCTGGCCCCATAATGTACTCCCTAGCACAGTGCTAGGGAGTAGTACTTCTGCTGATCTGGCTCTGCTAGCCAGTACTGGCTTCCAGCCACTACGCCCTCACCCCTACTGCAAGCTACCACCGAGGAGGAGGAGGAGGAAGAAAACAATCAACAGCCA